GTTGCGTTAGAGAACGCTGCCCAGCACAATGAAACAGCAGTTTCCTGATTTCACAAAGGAGGAAGTATCCTCTGGATCTACATAAACACAATGCGCAGTGCTGTTTGGTAGCAGGAAGTTGGAAGCACAAAGTTTCTATTCTTTATAGGTTCTGTCTGCTGTCCAGCTGAACAAGGCTTGTTGTTGTATTAATCTGTGTGGCAGACTTATCAGATCTTCAAAATAAAATTATCTGAAACAATTAAAGTTAAAAAAATCGGGGTCTTGACAAAGATGTGACACAGGTAGCAGTTTGCTTGCCAGAAATAGAAAAACAATAGAAAGATAGATGGCTGACTGTAGTCAGGAACACATAATAGGGTTTCTGTTATATGCATTGTGCAGCAGCTGATTGCAGAAACTTCTGGGGACCAGTTAGACAATATATTTACATAAATAGGTTATATGTAGATGCACGTAATTTTAAAACAAGACAACAATTATCTGTTTCTCAGTCTAGGTTTAGCTACATTCTGGTCTGTGTTGATCTCTACTTAATCCGTGGTGTAGCATGGTGTCACTGTAATCTGCAATTCAGCATACTGCTTTCAAGATATTCTTTAAAAAATCAAGACAAATGAAGCACTCTTACATGTTTGACTTATCTATTGACCACCCGCATATTACATGCACAAACCACCCAGGTACAACAAATCCATTCTCCTACCGACTGCTGATAAAATTCCTAGAGGAAACACTGCATTAGAGTTCTTAGATTTTCCTTAATGTTTGTGTGAACCACTGTTTGACACTTCCCCAGAGCCCCTTTGGTCTGTCAGTGGATGCATGGAGAATGTCAACTAAATCCTCCAGATGCTACAGAGGAATTTGCAGCTCTGACAACCTCCTCCACACAGCTGGATCCCTGCCAAAGCTAATGGCCTTTCTGTGGCAGTTTTACTTTCTTGTTGAGATGTGACCACAAAACTTCACTCCCAGGATAATTGTTACTTTGATCAGCAAAAAGGGTTCAGTGTTAGTTTTGAGGTTGATAACACCAGAGATCTGGATGTAGTTCACTCAAGATAAAGAATGTTACAGAGCCAGAGATTAAATATGTTTTTTTTTTTTAATGAAGTTAGATGTAATATCTAAGTTTAATTACTGTTCATTTTGCTATATTTGTCATTCTTTACATGGACTACAACTGACTAATTGTGCAAAAATGTACAAAACTCTAGTGGCACTGAATTTCAAGAAATGCATGCATGAAATATCCAAATCTACCTCAGTTGTTTTCTCAGTTCAATCTGAATACCTCAGTCTCATGTTCACTGAGCAACTTAACGCTGACTTGACTTGCATGTCGGAATATGTATTTAAAACAGCCATGTACCTTTGATAGTATCATATTCGCTGAAAATCCAACTCCAAAATTGTCAGCAGTCAGGAACAAGTAAGACAGCTTACGCAGCTTTCTATTTGTAGTTCAATTCACAGTAATACTAGTGGGTAAAAGGTCCCTAGAAGTCATCACTATTATAGCTGGTGGTATAACTTTTCATCGTCAAAACCATTAATTCTAGGCACCCAGATAGGTCAACAGGTTGAGCGGGCAGCCCATGTACAGGGGTTATGGTCCCCGACACAGTGGCTGTGGTTCGATTCTAGCCAGTGGCTCATTTGCTGCATGTCTTTTTCCCACTCTTCTCCCCATGTTTCTCTGTCACTCTTTCACTGTCGTATCCACTAAAGGCATAAACGCCAAAAAAATATCTTTAAAAAAAAAAAAAAACAACAAAAAACATTAATTCCTTCAAGCACTATTTCCATTAAAATAACTGCAAACTGAGGGCTTGAATATAAAGTTTGTTATACTGACAGTGGGCTGTATTCCACTACTGGTATAACGCTTAAAACAACAACAACAAAAAATTAAGTGACACTTAAGCCAGTAAATGATCCATAAGATATAGACATACTAGTATTCTGCACTATTTTTCAGTAGATCAGTTTTAGATTTATGGGGAGGACAAACAGAAAGAGACACAGTGAGCTGCAGGCGACAGGCTACACCATCAAGCCAAACAGCTTTACCTCACTATGCAGTGAAGTGGAAAATATTCACACCTTACCAGTGTAGCTCGACTGCACTGTTTAGTGCCTCCTGTATGGAATAACTCCCCATACCTGAGCCACCAGAGGGTAAAATCTGTATGTACCTGTTTGGTCATCTTATAGGAAAAATGAAAACATGCTTCTTCTTCTTCTTTTTTTTTTGACAATGTTCTACTTTTAAATACTATTTTCAGGTCTTTTCAGGAAGGCAGTTAATTACCACAGAAGAGAGTATTGTTGAACGAGGCATTGTCTGTAGATCACGTAGCTTCCTTTTCTGGTGACACTGGTATGGAACTGTGAACTGTGTTTCCTTTTTTGTAAATGATAATGTATCTGTAAACCTACTGACTGGGTGGTTGTGGTTCCCTTCGACCCACACATACAGCTATCTGTGGCCACAGAGATAGTGATGCAAGAGGCGTGCATGACTTTATTTTTGAGCCGGGCACGTAGTGCAGTTTTAAAGTTTCCTTAAAGCTCGCTGCTAAAGGTTTTAAAAAGACACAGATGAAGTGTGCATGTGGTGATGCTGCCAACAAGTACTGGCAACCTGCAGGTGAATATACTGATTAAATAACACACTGTTCCAAATTAAACATGCATTTGTTCAGTTTTAGGTGGTGTAGAGTGAAAGACTGGTTGATAGCAAGGCATCAGAGGAAGTATGAGTAAGATCTGATATGCAGACTTCGATGTAGAAATGTAACCACAATCATCCAAAAGTGTTAATCTCTTCAGCTGGAACACAACAAAAGAGGGTTTGTCTATTTTTTAATGGCTTATCTGACACTCATGCTATTTTAAATAGAATCAGACAGTCTTTAGCTTATAAAATAAAGTTGATTTTGAAAGAACCCGTAACAATACTTATATCAGTGCAGTGTAACACATTTCTGTCACAAGCCGTTACTGTGAAATAATAAACTGTAACAGGAGGATGCAGTAAATCCAAGAGACTTGCACGAATGTTCATTTGCAGCCTCATTTTGTTGAACTTCGCTGGGTTCAAATATAAATTCAAAATGTGGGTCTGACTACATTGACTAAATGAATCATTTGGATTCTTTTGTACTGAGTAAACTTATTTGTAATGGCATTGCTTTTACATATCATATTTTTGTATTGCAAGTTGCAGTTGCTGTAGTAAAAGGTTTTTCCTATCTGTAACTTGGTTTAAGACATTGTACTCCATCCATATTTGTAATCCATGAAGTTGAAAACACTGTGATGCTGTGTTCATGTCATTCTACAGCTGGGATTTTTCTAAAATCCCAAAATTATCCAACTTGGCACTTTTATAATACGGAAAATCTAATAAATACCTCACATTAGGTGCGTCACAGACTGTTAAACCTTCACGTGACCAACTCTGCAGCCACAGAGCCGTCTTGAGTTTTCCACAGAAGCAAACACTTGCAAGTCGTAAACATGAGGGTCTTTCCCATCTCTGCAGTCCATCCTGTATGACATGAAGGTCTTGTTTGGGGGGGAATACACATATGTTTTGCATTGGGAGTCAAGACGATCTATAACCACAGTGTATATAAAACAGTAAGGAAATCTCAGTTTGTAAAAACACTTCCTTTGAATTTTTGTAGTAACATTTGAAATATTGCTACATGTACAGTATAATCATCATTATCAATCTACTGTACTAAAAGCATGATATTATGTTGATTTATGCCAAAGATTTTTTCCAAAGCAGGTGAGCGGCACAAAGCAGCACAATTTTTAGTCATTAATTTTGTTTTTGCCATTTAGGTTTAATCAAAAATCATCACAAACCATCTCAGTTTTATATAGTCATGTACAGATTCAACCATGTGTCTTGCTCCTCTAGGAACTTTCACACCTTTCTTCAAGAACACTTCTATTGTACAACTTCACCATTTTTTTCAACAGACTTAAGAAGCGCATTGTTCACTCTGAAACTTTAGACTGTAAGTCGGCTACTAAAGCTTAGCCGAGGAATAATAACGTAAGCACTCCTCTTCCTCCATCCCAACTTCAAACATCGTTTCTGATCGGTGTCTCATTTCTGTTGTACTACAACAGAGTTGAAACATATTATTGTGGGTGATGATTTGATCTAGTTATTGTGCAGCTTTGGATCTGAGTCAGAAATCTTTGGGCTTAGCTCAAAATGCCAGAGTTCACATTAAATGTCTGCCTCTGCTGTTAAATGGGTCATGGGAAAGTGCTATACTTATTTTGCTACTTTGACTTATCTACTTGTTTTGATTTGAGTTGGTAGGGAAACACACACAGAGAAAAATGAAGAAATTCAATGTTGTTTGTTATAGGAAAGAGTCAGGATCTATCAGCATGTGACAATCCAGCAGTGTTAGTGTTCACATATGACAGCTTACCGTACAAGATGGCTGTGTTGCCTCTATTTTACAAATATGCTAAAAATGGCAACACGCATAGAGTTAGTTGTAAATCTGCTTCATACTCACTCACCTTAATATTAACTGTTGTACTATTTACTGTCGCCATCCAATTGATTGGTGGGAATCACATGAGTGAGACTTTTAAATTTAATCAGTTTTTGGCCGGTATCAACACTTGGCACTAAATATAGACCTCAGAGTTTGATATTGGTGCTTCCAAACCTTCCCACCGGGTTGTAGGCTCTCCAAAGCTTGACTCAGCAATCCAAAGACTTCATGAGGAGGCTGGTGGTTAAAAATAACCACAATCTGGCATCAGCGGGGTAAAATTTATACTAGCACTTAGATAATAGCAGGCAAGTTATCGCAAAAGTTAGGCTGGTTTAACATCGAAGCAGGGGGTTCCTTTTCTTTCTCTACAATGACGCTGATGCATGTGAGGCGCTCTGCCTGAACCCCTGATGATAAATGGACCAAAGTCTAACTGACTGTGTGTTTGGGTTTCAGGGGAGCGTTCTCTGAGGTAGTTTTGGCCGAGGAGAAGAGGACCCAGAAACTGGTGGCGATCAAGTGCATCCCCAAGAAGGCATTAGAGGGCAAAGAAAACAGCATTGAAAATGAGATTGCAGTCCTGCACAAGTAAGTGGACTTTCATGTATTAATTTATTAAACAATATAGCTTTGCATACCGTAATATATAAACTAAACTCGTAATTTAAGCCTGTCTTAAGCCTAAATTGTAAATACAGACCTTTTACCTGCATCTGAAATCCTAGCTACAAGGGTCAAGATGGTAAATTTTTCATCACTGTATCTCCATTACTGCACCATGTAAGTTGTATCACATTACTGATATCATATACTGTAGATCATATATGACATGTACTGTAGTAAAGTGATATAGTTTGACACATTTGATGTACATCATATTGAGTTTTGTGTTACTCCAGGAGTTGGACATATATCCAAAAGAATACTAAATATCTTACTTATCTTTCACTTATCTTACATTCAAACAACAAAGACTCCGGAGTATTGTAGCTCAAGGACCAGTTTCCCTACATTGGAAAAAAAAAACAAAATAATAATAATGTTTGCCTCTGTTGATTTTAGCCAACCAAGTGGTTTGGGTTGTACCTGCCAAAGCAGAGAACAATAAGGAGAATGGAATTTCATATGTGGTACTCAAATGACATTTTGAAAATTCAGCAGCAGTTTCTGTTTCCAGATTCATGTGTCATCTGGAAAAAAAAAACAAAAAAAACCACACACACACACACACACACACACATACACACACAGCCGTAACTAAATAACAGTTTTCCCTGGAACTACTTTCTATTTAAGAAGAAGTACCACTGAAGACTGTTGACAAACTGTGGATAAACCTGACTAGCAGCTTTCTGAAAAGAGATACTGCAGTAGGTTTTTTGAGTTTTCATTGTTTGTAGGCATCATTTTTATTAACAGGTAGCAATAGTAGGTTGTTAGTTGTTTAGGTGGACTACAATACTCTAAATCTTTCATTTTAGCGTGAACAACTAAAAGCATGGTGTAATTTTATTTAGAATCAACTTACATTAGCTCATCACTTATTTGTGACGTCATTTAAAAATACAAATAATACACTTTAATTCTTCTTTCTAGACTTATATTGTCTGCAAATATAGTACTTTGTCATGTAAAGTTATATCTCCAGAGACATTTACATCTACAAAAACTACTGCACATGATTCTCCCTCAGCCAGCTCATCCACAAGTTTTCTTTCTACCTGAGCAAGACACAGAATGTTTCATTATATTAAGACAAAGGCAGTGACAGTAACACTCTGTAATTGTGGAGTGCTTCAAACGCACCTTTCTTTAGATGTGGGGAATTACAGACCACAGTGAAAATGGCTGATCTACATTGGGTCCCAAGTTATTTTTAGAGCTCTTGTTGCCTGGGTTACAGGAGACACACAACTCGAGCCAATATACAGCTATGATCCCTCCTGAGGTGAGGACGCTGGAATGACAGCGGCGGTGGGGGTTAGTTAGCAGTTCGGTTACGATTTTGACAAATTAAGTCAGCCGATGTAAACTTGGCTCGGGGATCGGGGCTAGCTCTGTCTGAAGTTTGTATAGACAACAGTTTCATTATTCATTTTAGCACACCATCCACAACTCCCCCTCAGTACACAGAGCAAGGGACAGGGTCTGTGTGTCGAGGATTTTAAAGGTAAGGCGTATGTTTTCTTAAAGCGCCTGCAATCAATAGTTTTTGAGTGGACTGGATGATTTGGTGCCGTGTGAAAAATAGAGTTTTTAGTGCAAAAACTGACATCTTTCAGGTCACTGTTGTGTTCTTTCTTATCAGTCTGATTTCTAATAAAAACTACAATCTAGTGATCATAGTTGAGCATTTAGCTTGGAAGCCAGACAATTCCCTGAAGAGCTGATGGAGCTCCAAACCGGAGCCAAAAAGAGACTGAATAATTTACTTCAAACTTTTTTAACTCCAAAGGAATTCTAATGTTGTCCCATGTCTGCTGGATATGGAAATAAGTTCACAAAAACTCATTTATAAAGAGATGTGTCTAAGTTGGTAGTCTGCTTGTTCTGCTGCTCCAAAGTGGCCTAAAAATCAATTAATTCTGCACAAAATGTGTCCATTCAAGCAGTACTGGGTGGAGTACAATCATTTTGTTTGATTTGCAGGTCATGAAATCTCAGACTACAATGATTTAATCCAGGTGTTTGAGTGCAACATTCAAACTAGACCAGAAGTCTTGATAACACAAAGCTGTGTGTTTGTTTAAATGCTGTAAGTCAAATCAACTTAGTCTCACTGTCTACTTTTTTTTTAATCTCTTCTCACATAAATAATTTAAGTGTACAGTGGCACAACACTATAGATTTACAGCGAAGTAAACCTGCTGTCTTGTTTTTGACCACAGGACACAGCTGTCACCTGGAAATGTGTGTCTTTAAACACTGCGGCACGACTTTATGTCTAGCTCCGCTTTCACTTCATGTCAGACGGGAGCCAAACTTGTCACACTGACTTTTCTTTAACAGCTCTACTTGTGTCTGTGAATGCCAATTTGCTGGTGTTTATTTAATGTTTACAACCTGCCTAATGCAGTTGTAATGTTGATTTATAGAAAAGAAGTCAATTTACTCTCACTCGAGTATCTGTTGACCAAGCTAGTGTGCAAAGAAATATGATCCTCATGTAATTCATGCTTTCCTGTTTTGCTTTTTTTTTCTATTTCCTATAACTGTAAAGTGGCTGACCAACATAGTGGAGGTTTATCTGATCGCTGTGGTATCATCACACTGGTTAGCTGGCTGTTCATCCTCTTCTCATTTTGTCCAGACATTTACTCAAACATAGACATTTGCAAATATAGTGACTAATCACACTCTCACAGTCATTTGCAGCTGTGCCAATTACAGGAATTTATGTGAAGTTGCTCTCTGATGTTAATCTTAAAAGACTCATTTCAGCATGTCTTTGAGCTAGAAATGCCAAGTGCTGGACTCTAGATAACGTGTGTCGGACCATAAGATTGTATCTGACACCTTTGCTACATGCTGCATGCATGAGATGAGGCGTACAGCCAGTCATGTGATGGTGATGTTCGGCTCCACATCAAACAGTTTGTCGCTCTGCGTTGCTTCCTATGCTAAGAAGTTGTGGGAAACAGTAAATGTATTATTCTAAACAATGCTATAAAATGTTTTATTCTGTTAATGTACGTGCACCCAAGTAATTATTTTACAGCCACCACCAAACTCTAAAACTTCATAGAAACCAGAACCACAGTTTTTAATATAGAAGAACATATTACTTTAATGAAAGCTTCTAGCCTGACCTGAGAGAGGCATCCTCTGTGATTACAGTAGGAGAGAGGTTTCTCTTTGGAAACAGTCCACAGAAACTACAAGACACTTTAGAAAACACTTCTCCCACCACAGGAACTTTAAGGTCCTGCAGATATTATAAGAAGCAGTCATTCATCCATAGCTGGCCCACTCAGTGCTCTGGAGGAAGAAAAACAAATACATTTGTCTCACAGTTGTAAGAAAACAGGATAAAGTATAAAAAGGGAAATGTGCAAACAGTTTAAACAAGACTAGGTGTAACTCCAGAGGAACTGAGGCAGTTTTAACGCTTAGATTTTAAGCATACAGAGATTTAGCAAAATGCTTATCCAAAAGGTTTCTTAAATTCACCAATAAAATGTGTCAGAAACTTGTCAGATTGTGGATTTAAGATCTGCTAGTTTCACCCAGATGTCAAATGTATTCATTAGTTGCTGCACAGTAGGCAACTCTGTTCTCTGATTCGCTGACTTCTGTGATCTGATGCCCTGTGAGGCCCACAGATGCTGACAGGAGTCAGCAAATGACTAACAGACGTGTCAGTTCTCTGATAATCACCACGACCAACATCCACCACTGGTTCATCACCCACCCAAACACACCTGCGCAGAAATCCAGGTTACATGCAAAAAATGTACTGCATTTTCTGGACCTTCTGTGTCTGTGTGTGAATGACTACATTTGAACTCGTATGAGTTTACTCAGCAGCTTTAATCCATCACTCATCCTTCACTGGGTCCGTCTCTCCTTCCACACAGAGCTAAGCGGGTGAATGAAGGTGTCCGTGCATCGTTACAATCTGGATAAGAGTGATCGCTGTAATCCAGCATGAGCTCATGCTGACACATACACAGTTACCTCACAGTACATCTACATGGCTTTGTGTTGTCTTTGTCTTCCTGCCTTCAGCTCAGTAACCTTCAAAACCACACACTCAGACCAGTTACTGCTGTAGGTATGAAAGTTATAGTCAAAGGATCCCTGTGATATTTCTATGAGTGGGTCCCCATTTGTTTGTAGTGTTTATTCACATCTTGTCCTTGGTTTGCTGCTGTTCCTGCAACCCACGGTTTGTGCTGACATCATGCCGTCAATGACAGGCAGGGAAGAAATGTACTGAAAATACTGAGTGTTAGGGCTCGATCGGTATGTATGGTATTGATAATTAGTAATCGAGGAGGCAGATATNGTCCTGTGTTTCAGGTTGTGCGGTTACCCTCCCTTCTATGACGAGAACGATGCCAAACTGTTTGAGCAGATCCTGAAAGCAGAATATGAGTTTGATTCTCCTTACTGGGATGATATTTCTGATTCAGGTACAAGCCAATAAATAAACATAAATATCAACCTATTATCCTCCAGTCCTGTTTTGAAGGCATGAGGCAAACGTTTCATAAAGAGCTCTTCTGAACTCTCATTTTTTGAGCTGCAACACATCATTTTCATGTTTTCCTGAGCCAGCTGGGATCATTTCCATGTTCTGATTATATTCCCTTTCGTTAGTTTGGTATTTTTTCCCTCAAAGTCAAGCCCAAACCTAACAAGGTCCACTAGGTCCATTTGATTACTAGCCAAGAACTGTCATCTTCCTAAATTACTGATTTTTCATTCACACAAAAAAGAGGTCAGAAATGACATCGCTGTTACTCTGTGATGTCATTCTTTCAATCGCAGCCCAAAGCTTGTGATCTAAGCCTGTGTGGGAGGAACACAGACTCCAGAGAGCACACATGTCCGGGAAAAACTTCAAAATGCAGTTTGCAGTCATGAAAAATATCTCTGGAAATGAACATTGAATATTACGTTGCACAAATGTCCAATAAAACAAAGGAAATCTTGTTTTTATAGGGTATTTGAAGCCATGTGCTGATTTCGTCTTTGCCACAGTTATACAAGATTGAACTCTTCAGATAGAAAGTTCTCTAAAGGATTAACACATTTATCTAAAACATTTTAAAACGAGTACAAACGTCTTCTTTAAGGACCTTCCAAGGTTGGATCAGGCACACAGGGTTTTGTTAGTATCTATTGACAATGCTCACCTCTAGCAAATTGCAAATACAAGACGATCTTTCTCCTGTTTGGTGAGAGGGATGTTTCAGTTTTTTCACGCCAGGAAACATTTTATTTAATCCTTATGGTTCCCCTGGCAGCCGTTTAACCCACGACGCAAGACAATGATTCCATGTTGATTTTTTTCCAGTCTTGGTTCTCGGTCTGGGTCCGTTTTCCTCCAACTTTTTTGGAACAAATTCTATATTGACGTACCAGCCATTTTTCTGAAACACAGCATACCGCAGCATTTGTTTTCTTATTTATAGCACTTAGACACTGAAATGTTATGACATATTTAAGCTGGATAAAGCTTTCGATGAATACTATTACAATATAGAATGCATCAGCTTTGTGGAAATTATTTATATTTACCTTTTTCAATCTTTTTCATTCCAGCTAAAGACTTTATAGTGCATCTGATGGAGAAAGACCCTAACAATCGTTACACCTGTGATCAGGCTCTGCAGCACCCCTGGTATGACTCCTGCATACTGTCATGGTTGTAAAGATTTCTGTTGCACCTGTGACCCTTATATGTCAGTTTAAGTGACTCCTGGATTGAGAATATTTTGTTTTCTGTGACCAGTCCTTTGACGTTATGGTTGCACTTGAACAATAATGATCTCTATTCATTGCAAACACTCACAGATGTTTTCTGCTTCCTTGGTCAGGATTGCTGGGGATACTGCCCTGGACAAGAACATCCACGAGTCTGTCAGTGCACAGATCAAGAAGAATTTTGCAAAGAGCAAGTGGAAGGTAAGTCAGACTGCATTGTTCATTCTCCATTTCAGTGCACATGGAGAGAAAAAGCTACAGTTAGTCCTCTATGGTCTAAACCAGGGGTGTCCAATCCTGGTCCTTGAGGGCCACAATCCTGCATGTTTCAGATGTTTCCCTCTTCCAACACACCTGATTCAAATGATCAGGATCGTTATCAGGCTTCTGCAGAGCTTGACGATGACCTTCAGGAATTACTCCTTTGCAATATTTTGCTATCATAATTTTACTGCTCTTGTATCTGTGGCTTTTCCTCTGCAGCAAGCGTTCAACGCCACAGCAGTGGTTCGTCACATGAGGCGTCTCCAGCTGGGAACAGGTCAGGAAGGACCCAACCCCACCTTGCCAAGTCCGTGCCGAACTCATCTGCTGATGCCAGAGGAAGATGCAGGTGCCAGCTGTATTCCTGGTTCTGCCCTTTAAATCCTTAGGTTGATCTCACGCACGCAGTTATGACGAGTGTAGATACAGCAATGTCACATCATTCCACTGCCTTTAATGTCAAAGTACTGATCGTATCACCATATCTCTCTCTCTCTCTCTCTCTCTCTCTCTCTCCCAGAGGCTTGTTGTGAGGGAGGATGCTCCCAGAACGTCGACGGAGGAGCAGACCCTCTGTCCAACTGCACCTACCGCTGCCACCCAACCAGCAGGGTGTGAGCCCAACCTGCTCCACTTACCTATCTAATCAATCCCAAGTCACTCTCTAATTTTAACCCCCTCGGTGGAACCAGAGGCACCGTCTCCCCCTTTATCTGGTTAGGAATACAGCGTCATTCCAACCTCTCGCCTGCAGGGGGAGCAAGCCTGTCCAGCCAGAGAAGGAAGACACACAGTGGGTTGAAAAGGTGGAGGAAGGAGACTTGATGATAATGGTGATGCACCAGAGCAGATCATTTTTGGCATGAGTTAAAATGAGGGATACCATGGAAGGGAGGGGAAGACAACTTCCTCCACCAGCGTGTCTGCGGGATTGTTTTTGCCGAAGCAGGACAGAGCTTGTTGGACACTGTTTTTATTATTGATTATTTTTTTGGTTCAGCCTGTCTTTTTTTGTTTTATGGTTTTGTACATTTTTGTGTTGTCTTTTTAGCCTCCTACTGTTAAACTTTGGAGTGTAAATCCAGAAAACAATATCTGCATGACCAGGAGAGAGTTGCCCAATGCATGTTTTGTTATCTTTAAAATATAACCGGAAATGCAGCAGAGTGTCAGAACGATGCAGTAAATTGAGTCAAAACTTTTAACATTAGGGATCTGCATTAAGTGTCTTGAAGTCATGCTTTTAGACAATCAGCAACAGAATAGTTTATGCAATGAAAACTCCATTTATCTACGATGTAGCCTTTTTGTGGCGATACAGTGTTTCCATGCAGAGGTTAGGCTTTTTGAGAGGAAAATGCTTCTCTTGTCTCTTTTTTCTCCAGCCCTAAACCTCTTTAACCACTCGAGCACAGGGATTTCTCTTTGTCTAAGGTGCCTTTAGGATATACAGTGTGATGGGTTTATTGTTGATGGGTAGCTTCTGAAAAACGTTGTCTCTTTCTGCAGAGTTGTTGCAACACAATCTCTTTCTGTAACTTTCACATTTTGTACATGTCACATTATCAGCTTTAAAACGCTGTTTTGATTGTTCAAGTTAACTATTTTAGATTGGAAATGCTGAAAATGAACATCAATATTACAATGTAAAAAAAGAAAAGTAACAATTATGTTTATATTTCTCTGGAGAGCTTAAAAAATTGTATTTACAGACACTGATTTTGTGTGCTTAGCCTTTATTGAGGCTAAACTAAGTAAGATTACATAGGTTGTGGTGATGCAAAAAAAAAAACATAAACCTGCAACCAAAATTTGGTATACATGTGTCATCACTTACTGTATTGGTTGTGTCTCTCGCTCCAGTCCTTTCTTGCAGGCACATTTACTTCAAATGCAGCCTGTTAAGAAAGAACCTTGATTAAAGAATGGGAATATGCATCACATTGACTCACTTCATCTTCACTTGACACCCATCAGTACTTTTTATGTGTACTCATAAAGAGTATGTGCGTCATATTTTTTTTTCTATAATTTAACTCCCTTTAAAAACCTGCATAGACAAACACACAGCGCTTGGCTTTTAGAAAGATTCCTAAAATGTAAATGTTGGGAAACTGTGTTCATTTGTAGTTTTTAGGAGCTTAATGCAAGTTTCTTTGAATAATCTGTACTTTATGCTCTGGGGCCTGTAACAGTGACCATCCTGAGTGACTCACAGCCACTTTCAAAAGCAGTGAAAGTGAAAATCTTCCACTGACATGAGCTTCATTTGCCCTCCGATCACTTCGTTCTTGCCTTGAAATAATCACATTTTCTATTTAAAGCGTACTATTTAATACACACGTATAGACATTTGTTACCGATGTCATTTAGTACTGATTACCTATGTTTGCATGATGTGGCTTGAAAATTGTGAATATTTTTTAAAATGTGATAATGTTACAGGTGCAGTGGGATGAGTGCTTGTTAAAGAAAAGATTCTGTCAGATGTTTAATTAAAAATCCAATCGTGCAGTGGAGTGAAGAGCAACAAAAAAAAAAATGTGGTAACAATTCAGCAGGTTGAAGCAAGTTCAGTGTGTTGCTTCAAAAAGTATTTTTGAGCTTTATTCTGCAGCTTTGTTGCATAGGCGTTGTAGTGTATTTGGACTATGATGATAATGCCAAACTGTACATTTAAAGGAGGAATTATTTTTTTCCACAGAATTTCCTTTGTGAATTGTTTGTATGTCATAAATTACTGCGACAGAGTAACACCCAGAGAAGCAGAGGGAAGCTGACACATGGAGGCACTTGTCATCCACGGTCTTATTAATGTTGACAGATTCAATATTACTGTTAATCTCCTGCTAATGAAAACAACTCTGCTGATTTGATTCATTGCCACAAATGCTGATCATTTGTTTTGTCTCCTGCACTCTGATTTAACTCCTGCCTTCTAATGTTGATTCATTTCATATTGGTTTACACACTGCTCTTTCTTCTGTAGAATCAGCTCTTTTAAAAAAAAAAACCCTCAATGAAAATATTTATTTTAAGGCAAAATGAATTGGTGTACAGTAAGAGAATGCTATAATGAAATAACAACACCAGAAAAGCCACCTTGAATCTTTTTCATTTTGTTCTGTACTAACAAATTATTGTGCACAAGCAGAAAACCTACTGATTTTTACATTCCACTGTCATGAAACCAGTGGTGCCGACATGCGTAACCATATCCCATTACTCAGCCATTTGCTAGGAAAATAGCAGGATTGGTATTAAAAACATTTAGGAGAAAAAGTCTCACTGTCCTCTCCCTCAGAGGTGCTTATCTATAGGTTGCTTTCATAATTGGCCGCAGCATTTTAAAAAGTTATTTATACTGCACATATGTTTCGTTCATAGATTTCAAACAGCATCAATCTAAAGGAAAGAGATGATTTGTGTGAATGTTTCTCCTCTGATCGCTCATGAACTGCTTGTAGAGAATGACCGGTGTGTGGTAAGGTTTGTTGTACAAATGAGTATTTGTATCATAAATATGTTGCCTTTTAATAAATGCTGTTTTTTGGGCTACAGAACCTACTGTATGCGCAGATACAATGCATCAGGGGCTGTTAAAAAGTGACTATTGCTTAGTGTGGAAGCTGGTGACTTGTGCTTGGAACACATTTGTAAGTGAAACATACATTAAAATCCCTGTCTATGCATTATTGGACTGTCCAAGCTCATTTGTAAAGAAAAAAATAATAAAATAAAGAAAAGCAGCGCATTGTTGTAGCAGGAATTAGTGCAACCAACAAATAAATAGGATATAATGTCTGAATTTTATAGTAAAGCAACTGCTAGTTCATTTATAGCGAATGTGGTGTAGTGCTGCCTGCAAATGTTCTTCCACCACATATCACTATTTTCAGGGAATGCGTCACTGCATCTTGGGCTTATCTCCGCCAGACCATTCTGTGCTGAGGAATAGTCTGCCTGTGCAAGACTAGTAATGCTGTACAGTTCCATCTAAGCTATTTTAAGGCAGAAGGGACTATTTCCATGGAGCAAACTTTAATACAGGGAGGTGAATTTTTAGGGTTAGGGGTTAAATGAACCAGTGGAGGGGGGCTTTAACTAAGCATGCAGTTACTGTAGGCAAGTACAAAGTGAGTCATGCAATAGTTCTTAAATGTTGCTTTCATTCTTTGTCATAAAACTGCTCATCTGAAAAGCTAGAACAATACAGTGGGAGTGATACTTTTCTCAATGGTGAAATTTTGCAACAGATGATCCTCGTGAAATGGTTTTGCGGCTTGAGAGGTTTGTCATGAATGTTAATTTCATAGTCTGCTACATGAGGCCTCTCTCATCCTCTCCAAGGAATGCTGGGTAATTGAGGCTTGTGGTTTGGCTGCCGTAGCGTTGTGCTGGAGGAGAGCGGAGAGCGAGAGAGAGTCTGGTGGTCGACCTCATTCAGGAGACAGTAGACAGTAAAAATTATGTGGTCAAACCAGGAACAAGGGACTGATTCAAAATAATGGGGGAGAAATTGCATGGATCACAAGATAGAAAGTGTTGAAAGATGCTGGTCGTGTTTAGATGTGGAGGAGTGGAAAAAATAAAGTGAAACATGGCCAAGAGTGAAACTTGGCACCATTTACAGCAGTGCAACCAAAGGAAGGATGGTACCAGAAGACAGTAAGCTGACATTCTTAAACACACATAATTTCCCTGCAAAACAAAAGCAGCAGCACGCTGATGAAGATTGTGCTTAATCCATATCCTCCTCCCAGCATGTGCTGTTGCCCATGCTTGCATGGAATGCGAAACAGACTTGATACAGTGATGAGCCAAAAGTGAACAGCGCTGGTATGACAGACTTATCACTTGTAAGTTGATTTATCTGGGCAGTGGCAGTAGCATTATTCAAACCTTTCACAAGCATTCTGAGCAAACTGCTGATGTGAAAGTCTGCAAAGATTTATGAAGTGGCCGGTGTCATCTGAACAAGATTCCAAATGACTAGCAATGCTGCTGTGAACGCCTGATGCAGTGTTTTCAAAGATTCATAAAAATATACTGCTTTAATAGTCCAGTATGTTGGATTTAGAGAGATCTAGTTGCAAAAATTACATATAATAGCCATAACTATGTGTTCATTTGTGTATAATCACCTGAAAATAAGAATTTTCATGTTTTTGTCAGCTTACAATGAGCCATGTTTGTTCACAAAGGGCATAAAGAGGGACTTTCACGTTTTCAGTGGCCACTGTAGGTTCTCCTTCATGGCGAAAAGGGGTCAGTCAGCAGTATTTAGTTNGTTACCTGTATTCTGGTATGATAATAAAATGATATTTACCATGCTTTACTGTTTGTATAAAACGGTAAATTGTCATTCAGTATTGATGTACATGATACACTGAAGCACAAATGTTTACAACATGTATATGAGACAGATGTTTAACAGAATACAGGTGTGCTAGAGCGCACACTGGTTTGACAGAGAAGCACAATACTAATCTTGATCTAGTGAGTCATTTTCTCACCTCTGTCGCTGCACCCACGGGTCTCAGGGGGCAGCAGAACACAGAGTTCAGCCAATTAAGGAGCTGCGTGCCAGCACACAGTGGCGTGTCCCATCTCTGCCTATAGGATTTCAAAACCCCAATTAAGGCATTCTCTGTTATCTCATGACACAAACACTGATTATTTTAGCCACCTGCACACAAATCTCACAAGTATTAATGTCTAAATAATAATATAGTGAAGTATAATACAAAGAAGAGCAGAATGAACAACTGATCTTCTTGTCTTTTTTTCTTTTTTCTCACTCCTCGCAGGATTAAACACGCCAACATTGTATCTCTGGAAGACATATTCGAGAGTAAATCACACCTCTACCTTGTCATGCAACTGTGAGTATTCGCATATGTACAAGACTGCGTGATTCCTCTCCGTGTGTTTCAGACTGCCTACTTGTGCTATCTCCCACTCATTGCTTGTCACATGCCATTAATTGCACTCTGTAACACACTCACACGTGCATAAACACATACAAACACACACACACACACAAAAAAAACCCCACTGTACTGCGTTTACTCGTGAGCCCCAGTGGGGAGTTTGCCCTCACACCAGCAGCCTGTGAGTGTCCCACCCACCTCAGCTACCCAAATGTCAGAGAGAGGGGGAGAACCAGAAAAAAAAAAAAACAAGGACAGACCAGGATCAGGAGCAACATTAACTAAGAGACTCCAGACAATATGAATGATTTATGCATTAATCACAGTCAAATCAGGGAGATGAAAGGCCACAGCGGAAAGGGAGGGTGTCCATTTATCATTTAATATTAGTTGTTGCATTATGTGACAATGTGCTCCCTCATAATAATTGTGACCTTTAAATACACATTGATTCATAGTAGGTCGCACATTCATTGAACACCAAAGTAATGGATGTTGCTTAATTTTAATTTTAGCAACATCAAACAAATGCTGCAAAGAGATGGAGAAAACTGTATGAAGGAATAGGAATGTTTTAGGAAGGAACTGAAAGATTGTGGATACACTCACATAAGGATTTGTATAAGCTACTAAAAACACAAACACCAGACCCCCACACTTCTGACTTATTTTCTATTTTGCTTCTGTATTTTATTTCTTTCATTAGCTCTGCATGTATCATCCCGTCCTTGCTTTTTTTCCCCTCCTCTGTATTGAGGTTTGTTAGAACATCAAGTGTGTGTGTGCGTGTGTGTGTGTGTGTGTGTGTGTGTGTGTGTGTTAATCATATTGGATGTGCAAACACACATCTTCACACAGTTACATATGTTCTGTAGGTAGAGTGAAGTCTCCATCTAGTGGCTACTGTCTAGCAGACATCTCCAGACTGTACATGGTTTCTTCTGGGCCTTTTACGTGTAAAAACTTTCTAGTTTTTTTTTGCATTTGATGGTAAAGGACATTTAACTGTCATAGAAGCAACATAGTCAGAAATACTGTAAGTAATCATCATGTTTCTTTGTTTAAGGGATTGTGATCAGTAATAAATCACAGTTTATATTTCCCTGCTGTCCTTTTGATACATTTCAGACCTTTTCCTACTTCTTCTTTGTTGTTGTTTATATCCATGTTCTACATTTGCGTCCAGACTTGCTTGTTTCAATTATCATCCAGTATTTCTTACACATGGCTTTAATCTCTTTATGCAGGGTGTCTGGTGGGGAACTCTTTGATCGTATCATTGAGAAAGGCTTCTACACAGAGAAAGATGCCAGTAAACTCATTCAGCAGATTCTGGATGCTGTCAAATACCTCCATGACATGGGCATCGTGCACCGCGACCTCAAGGTCAGCAAGGAGTCGTCAATATGATTGAAAAGTTAAATGACATATGGTATTAAATTTGACTCTTTTATATTGTTGGTTCCATTACAGAAGGTAGTTTTGTGCATTTATTAGTGGTTTAATGTTGTGGGGATTTATTTTTCTGTTTCTTTGCTTCTGTAGTGGAATTTCCACGTTTTTATGGATTAATAAATCTAACCTTTTACTCGAGCAGTAAATGCCAAAAACGCTGTTTAATACGGTGTCCATGTACCAATCCGTGTAACAAAAATGATGTCGCAACTTGCAAGAGCCCCGACAGAAAACACGTCGAGCATTATTTTGCTGATAGTAAACTAAAACAGGCTTAAGTGTTGTCCATGTAATCCCATCTTTACAAGCATATAATCCTTTTATGGAGATTAGTAATTCCTGTCTTTATGAGGTGATGGTGCACAGCGAAGACTTTGCATGCTCATGTGTTATTCCACTTTTGTTTACATCCCTGCTTTTTGCTTTGCCCCTCCAACTCTCAGCCAGAGAACCTGCTGTACTACAGCATGGATGAAGACTCCAAAATCATGATCAGTGACTTCGGTCTGTCAAAAATTGAAGGTTCTGGCAGCGTAATGTCGACAGCCTGTGGAACACCTGGATATGTTGGTAAAGGACTCAGAAACTGACTTAAATTAGGAAGTCTGTTTCTAATTAGCCAGTTTTATGTGATAGGAAACATGTGCCGAGTTATTGCAATGCTAATATGAAGCATAAAAGACCACTTTGACCACAGTTTTTCACCACAGTTCCATTTGTAAGGAGTAATGAAAAAATGTACAAAAGTCGTAAAAAAGAGGCACAAAAACATGTGTTCAGCATAATGAAGTTTCAGTCCAAGACGGTATTTTGTATTTAAAAAACTGTATCACCTTGTGTTTTCTCTTTAAGCCCCTGAGGTTTTGGCTCAGAAGCCCTACAGTAAAGCAGTGGACTGCTGGTCTATTGGTGTCATAGCCTATATTCTGTAAGTACGCCTTTAAAAACATTACATGAGATGAATATGCTTCATTCTAAGGAATTCTGCATTGACACATTTTATCATTTTAATAGTCAAGTAAACACATCAATCACAATGCAGCATGATTTGCAAATAATGGGATGCTTGTCATAGAAAAGTCTTGTGTGTGTGTGTGTATATGTATATTATTTTATTTTACTTCATTTAATTTTATTTTTTGCACTAATTGACACTATTTGACACTTTGATTTATTTATTTTGCTTTTTTCTATCTCTATATATGTTCNTGTCTCTAAGTGTAGCCCTGTGATAGACTGGTGACCTGTCCAGGGTGTCCCCTGCCTTCACCCTAAGTCAGCTGGGATAGACTCCAGCAATTGGATTG